CTCTCTCTCTCTCTCTCCCGTGCGACTTCAACTTTTTGTTCGTTTTTTTTTTTTTTTCCCTTCTTTGCGTTCAGCGGTGATGGAAAGGATTCAAATGTTGCGAGAAGGACCTGAACCTTTTCCAGCAGCACAAAGGAACGGTTTGTGCGTTACAAGGAACCAACCCACCCAGAGCTGTCCCAGGAATGAGATGTGTACCCAGAGCCACCTCAGCGAGAGGAGGATTTGCAAGTGTTCAATAAGTATGGAGGACTTAGAGTTTGAGCTGACCCAAGCTGGTTCGAGCAGGAGGGATCTAGTCCTGAGGCTGTTGCAAGCGGTTCCCGCAATCTGGAGGTGTTCGAGCAAGGAGGACCTAAACCTGGAGGTGAACCAAGCTGGTTTCAGCAAGGAGGACGTAGACCTGAAGCTGAACGAAGCCGGTTTCAGCAGGGAGGGTCTAGATCTGAGGCCGTTCGAAGCTGTTTCCAGCAAGGGGCATCTAGACCTGAGGCTGTTCCAATCTGTTCGGGCAAGGGGCATCTAGACCTGAGGCTGTTCCAAGCTGTTCGGGCAAGGGGCATCTAGACCTGAGGCTGCTCCAGGAATGATATGACCCAAAGCTATCTGAGCGAGGAGGATCTGCAACTGCTCCAGCAAGCAGGACCTGGACTGGAAAAGCTGTTCCCAGCTGGTTTCAGCAAGGAGGATCTCTACCTTGTCACACTGTTCCAAGCTGTTGCAGCAAAAAAACTGGATTTTTTTAGAGCTTGTCCTAATCCAGCAAGGAAAACCTACTCCTGGAGCTGTTCAAGCAACGGTGGACCTGAATTTCAAGCTGGACAGAGACCGGTTAACTTCTCCAGCTGGAGGATGATCTACAATCACTTGGACCTGGTCCAGCAGGGAGGACCTGACCTCCACTACGCCGACGAGGAGGGCTCGGAACTGTGTCATCGAGGACAGTCTGGAACTATTTGCAGGGGCAAATATCCATGGAACCATTTTCACCTGAGGACCTCTGTTCCAGCAATGGAGTTACTTGTTACCTGTTACCTGGAGCTCTGTTCCAGCAATGAAATGAAACGAGGACACATGGAATGGAATGTTTCGAGCGGGTAGGGTTCGGATGGACAGAAACAGGAAAGAAGAGAAACACCAGTCATAACGTCTGCTTCACATCGGATCGGATGTGAAACAAGCAGTCATAACGTCTGTTCCAGGAAAGAAGTTCAAACACCAGTCATAACGTCTGCTTCGCATTGGGCTTCTAAATGTTGAGTTTGAAGTTTGAACTTTAAATTTCAGGCCCTCCCTTTTTTTTTCATTTTCCCCTCACCCCTAACAAAGCAGGACCTTAATCATAAAGGCCTGGCTCCGTACCCATTCTCGGGAGCGTCAGTCGAGTTCCATTTCCACTGGCAACTTCGGCAAGTCGATAAAGCAACTTGCCCCTCCATGCCTCCTCCCATCAAGCCCATCAAATAAGATCTTGGAGAGCATTGATTGCTCCCCCACCTCTCCTAACGCAACACAGCACAGCAATTATAAATGATAATCTCAAGAAAGAACTTTCCGTATCCCTCTCTCTCACCAGCGCAGCATTATTCAATCTTCATAAAGTGCCGACCCTCTCTTAAACCACCCCTCTACCGGAAACTCGGGGGACCGGTGGGCTGTGTTTTTCGGATAGGCATGCGGCCTATCGGTAGGGGTCTGTGTGTGGCCTGGCCCTGGTCCCAGAGTGGCAGAAATGGAAACATGCCGGATCAGCACAATTATTTCATGGGAGAAATGTTTTTTTTTTTAATTTTTTCTAGGCTGGTCCCCGAGCGGCCCGGCGGGGAGAAGGTCGCCCAGGTACCCTCCCGGGCAGCCCGGGACGGGCAGGGTCAGGGCAGGGTACCGGGCAGTCCATACCGCATAATATTGAAAAACAGCAGAAAATAATTATTTATATATATATATACATATATATCGTCAAATAGAACTGCCCGGTAAACCGTAGGCAGAGAGGGAGAAGAGGACAACAAACGAGGGGCTGTGACAAACTGTTTCGTCGGAGTTTCACCGACTCATCAACGAGGGGCTGTGACAAACTGTTTCGTCGGAGTTTCACCGACTCATCAGGAGGCTGAACCCTCTGATGAGTCGGTGAAACTCCAACGAAACAGTTTGTCACCTGTCTCTTATACACATCTAGATGTGTATAAGAGACAGTTCACCGACTCATCAACGAGGGGCTGTGACAAACTGTTTCGTCGGAGTTTCACCGACTCATCAGGAGGCTGAACCCTCTGATGAGTCGGTGAAACTCCAACGAAACAGTTTGTCACAGCCCCTCGTTTGTTGTCCTCTTCTCTCTCTCTGCCAACGGTTTACCGGGCAGTTCTGTTTGTGACGATATATATATATATATATGGGAAAAAATGTGTTCTGTAAAATTGCAGTACAAGCAACTTCTGGCTGTGGGTCCCCTTGAAATTCCTTATTAATTTTAAGATAAAAGAGAATGAGGAAATATGAGGTAAGATATGCCCTTTTAAACCACCACTACCTCCGAGCCTGTTTTTGCCAATGCGCACCGAGTTTTGCCGAGCCTGGGTTCCGATTTGTTTCTTTTCTGGTGCTCTCCTAAAAAAAAGAGAAAAGCACGGCCCAGCCACAAAAGAATAAAAGAAAGAAAACAAACACCCCTCTGGACGTGATACCAGCTAGATACCTAGCCCAAAGTCGTTGTGTGAGTATGCCCTCAGTGAGGGCGTTGCGGCAAAGGGTGTCAGGTCCACGGAAGAAGGAAAAGGACAAAAAAAAGTGAAGCTGAACTTAGGCCGGGAAAGAGGCTTCATACATTCTGCAAAGTAATAGTGCGGGCATGCCCTCCTCCACAAACTTTCAGCAGCCCGTGGGCCGCATCGTGCTCCCTGTCGGGACACCAAAACAAAAAAAAGAACGAAAACAAAAAACAAAGACAATGAAAACCTGAAACTGGCCAGTATAGCGGTTAGATACGAACGTGTGAGTTTTGGTGCGAGTACAACGTGGTGCACGGCCTTCCCCGACATGATCTTTTGTTCCTCTTTTTGTTTCTCGAAGAGGCCCACAAGGCCCAGCTGCCGAGCCTCACATTTTTCCCAAGAGTGACAGAGGTAGTGGTGGTTTAAAACTTTAAACCCTTCTAGTCACTGTTTAGACTCTTTAGAGTAACTTTATTCCCCCCAAACACCCCTGGGTGATCTATCATCGAAATGGAAGGCAAAGCCAGATTCTGACTGCACAGGCCAAGTCGAGCGTAGTGTTGTCTTTTTTTTCAGGATCCTTGCCTCTTTTTTGGCCTGACTGGTTTTGCCAGGCCATGCCCCCATGCCCAGCTGGCCCAGGTGTGCCAGCCCAGGCGACGGTGAAGCCTAGCTTTTTTTAATTTGTATGATATTTTCTCATGGAAAGATCATATGACCTAATCTACGGACCCTCTAAAAGTTTTTTTCAGTGAATTTTGAGCACGAAAAATCATCGAAGTTGCCGTACTTCCTCTGTTAGCCGACACATGGTAGAGTGTCAAAAATGAAAATGCATGGCATTGACCTCTTTTTTTTTTTTTTTTTTTTTTTTTTTTTTTTTTTTTTTTT